GAAATCAAATTAGGGCTGGGATTGTACCCAGCAGTGCAGCACCTGCCTGACAAGCAGAAGGCCATGAGTTCGATTCCAGGTACAGGGGGAAAAAAAAAAGAAAAATCAAATAACCAATGCTGATGAGGCTGCAGAGAAAATCTCTTCACTGGAGGGAACATAAACTAGCACAACCACTATGGGAATTGGTGTGGAGATTCCTCAGAAAACTTAAACTAGAAGTTCCATTTGACCCAGCTCTTCCCCTTTTAGATATCTTCCCAGCAGCATTAAAGACATTGTGTTACAGGGATCCGTGTGCACCTGTGTTTATAGCGGCATGGTTTATCACAGCTAAATCTAGGAAGCAGCCTATGTGTCCATCAACAGATCGTTCAATGGATAAGGAAGACTTGGCGTTTACACACCATGGAGCGCTACTCTGCCATGAAGAAGGATAAACTCGAGTCATTCGGTAGGAAAGTGGATGAGACTGTAATTGTAATGTTAAGTGAAATCAGACGCACAAGCTAAATGTGTATGACTTCTCTTTATGAGAAACCCCAATTATAAATAAAGAGCAAAATAAAGATAGGTAAGAGAAAGTGGAGAGATAAATCTTCCTCGAATGGGAAAGGGAGTGAGGGCAAAGGAGGGGAGGGAAAGGGGATGGAAACAGAATTAAGATGTGTTCTGTGCAGGCACCAACCCCACACAAGGCAGGCGTGTAAACACTGTCCTGCAAACTAATGAAAATGAGGAAAAGCAGACACGGGTGTCAGGAGGAGCAGGCGTTGGGGGTCAGAGGTGCTTGTGTGACCCTCTCAATGGCCAGTCGGGAGTGGAGGCCCCGAGAGAGCCAAGAGAGCCAACCTTCCCCCACGTTCTGCATGAGCCCGCGTCTCCAGGGCCCCGGCCCCTCCCGGGAGCTGGCTGTGCACAGCCCAGCGCAGGCCCCGGGTTGCAGCGGGAGGAGCTGCAGCCTGCCCCTGCGTCCCTTCCTGGGAGGAAGCGGGAAGCTCCCGAGGGCAAACACTGCCCGGCATCCTGCTCAGCCAGCCAGAGCGAGCGGGGCCCTCGCCTTCCACACCATGGAGATTCCGGGAACCCTCGCCCGCCACCGGCAGGTCCTGAGCATGAGCCGGCTTTGCCCCTGGGCGCGACGCCCCCTTCTCCATGCAGCCAGCATCGGAGGAGTCCTCGTCGGTGCCTTCTTGGTCCTGGGCTGCTGGGGGCTGTCGGACTCCCAGCAGGTGGGCTCACAGCGGGAGCACGCAGTCAGTCGCGGGCTCAGTGGGCATGTTTTTCCTCGGCGCATGTTGGCTTCGGCTTCAGGGGTGCTCGGGTGGAGGAACCAAGCCTGGGTTTGGAGACGAAGGGTGTGCACCACAGGGGTTGGTTTCTTCTAGTGAGGACAAACAGATGCCAGTCGTCCCAGACCTGCACCTCCTCACCTGTGCCCTCCTCTGTCCCCAATTCTGTCCTCATCTTCTTGGTCTCCCCTCCATTTTCTTATTCTGTTTCTCTTTTCTTGCAGAGCTTTCTGCAGGCTCTGGATCCCGAGGAGGTGTCCTCTTACTTCGGCCCCGATGCTGCCTTCGAAGGTACACATCCTGGTGCCCCTCGCCGGGGGAGTTTCTCAGGTGGGGGGCAGCTCCACACTGAGTCAGTGGTCCGGGGTTCTTGGTGGCTCTGGAGGGAAGACGTCAGAGGAGCAGCTGGCATCCTGCTCATTAGCTCTCTCACTTCCTGCCAAGCTGATAAAAGCTAGACAGGCTGTTCTGCTTGGACTGGGGTTGGCGACCCCGAGGAAATGGTCACTAGCTGACCAGTTCCTCCCACCCAGGGCCTCTGCTGGGCTGGCTGGTTTTCAGGAGCTTGGTTGTTTCTGGCCATGGCTGTAAATATTTATTCCTTTTGTGGGGAACAAGGTAGTGCTGGGTCGGGCCCCCTCCAGAGCTGATCCTGTGCAGCTCCTTACGGCAAAGCCTTTCCCTGTGGACTGTGCAGCTCAGGATCCCAGGCCCCTGCCCAGGAGGGCCATTGGTGGATTTGATCCAAAGCTGGTGGGAGGGTGGGGGATTTAGCTCAGTGGTTCTGCCACCTGCCTTGCAAACACAAGGACCCAATTTCAATCCCTGACACCCCTCAAAAAAAAGCTGGTGGGAGCCAGGCATGGTTACTCACACCTATAATCCTACACTCAGGAGGCTGAGACAGGAGGATCGCTGAGAGTTCGAGACCAGCCTAGGCTACACAGTGAATTCCAGGGCAGTCTGAACTACATAGTGAGACCAGGTCTCAAAAAAAAAAAAAAAAAAAAAAAAAAAAAAAAAAAAAAAAGTTGGGGG